CTAAGTGTCCATAGACAGATAAATGGATGATGAAAATGTGGTGTATATATTTACAATGGACCATTATTCAGCCATAATAAAGAAGGAAATCCTGCCATTTGCTACAACATGGATGTATCTTGAGGGCATTGTGCTTAGCGAAATAAGTCATACAGAGAAGGACAAACACTGTATGAACTCATTTTTATGTGGAATCTAAAAATATTGAACTCATAGAAACAGAGAGCAGAATGGTGGTTGCCAGGGGCTGAGGAGTGGGGGAAATGGGGAGATGTTGGTGGAGGGTACAAACTTTCAGTTATAAATTGAATAAGTTCTTGGATGTAATGTACAGCAACGGGGAGTATAGTTAACAATACTGTATTGTATACTTGAAAGTTGTTATGACAGTAGAGTTTTAATGTTCTCACTATAACAACAACAACAAAATGGTAATTATGTGAGATAAAGGATGTGTTAACTAACTTTAGTATGGTAAACATTTTGCAATATATAGGTGTATCAAATCATCACAATGTACACCTTAAACTTACACAATGTTATATGTCATTTATATCTTAATAAAGCTGAAAAAAAATAAAAAACAAAGTTAATGGTCATGAACGTAAAATGAAACTTCTCAGCATGGCTATGGCCTTTTCTCCAGCCACAACTGGCTGAACAAATGTAGAGAGTGGGTAGGATTAGAGTTAGATTTAAATAGGATAGTGATTTAGCCAAGGGAGTATAACAAAATGAAAAGAGTCAGGAATGTTGAGAGCATGTGTGCAAAGCAGTAATTACAATGATTGACCAGGGAATCTAAGCTGGATAGAGAAAGAAGTGAAGCCATGAGGGAGGTAAAAGACACTAATACATTCCCAGATGCCTACTGAGGATGGAACTGAGAGGAGGGACTATAGAAGTATAATCTATGTGGATAGTGAATTCATCAAGGATTAGGACAGTAGCAGAACTGGAAAGGGAGAGAGAGTGAGGCAGGGACAAAAATCTTCCAAGAATAAAGGGGAGCAAAGGCGGTGAGGAGAGGGATGACAGCAACACGGAGGGCAAAAGCTGATGACATGCATTCAAAACTGCATTCAAAACTGAGGATGACTTCATCAAATCTACATCTTCTCTCACAGATAAGGGTTGTTTTCCATGTTTTACAGATGATGACCCTGAGAATCACTGAGGTTACACAGCTAGCTTAAGGTCACTCAATCAGAGAATGAAATCCTAAACCAGTTAAAAATTGGGAGTGGAAATAGCAGTGAGAGGGAATTATGCTGCCTCTGGCCTCCACACACTGCCAGGAACACACTACCCTAAATAACCTTTCCTTCTAGAATTTTCCCTGCTTCACCCAGGGGGACTCCTCTCTGGACACCTGCATACAAGGTACTAATTATGGGAGTGGGACATAGATTCCCCAGAGCTCCATCCTTTCTTCTAAATAACAGGGAACGTTGATTTCCGTTTCCTCTCCAGTGAGAGGTCTCGTCATCATCCTTCCTCCTCCTCTACAGCTGCTATGCCCTTTAGAATCAGGAAGAATATTTCTGCTACCATCTCCAGCTAATGCTGATTTGCTACAAGGCTCAAGTCCTTGCCTTGTCTATGCCCCCTTACAGGGCCCTCCAGAAACAGACACCACCACCTCTGCCTGGATCTGGATGCTTCACAGGATGTGGGTGGCCTCTTGTCCAAAGACATTCTATTCATTCCTCTACTGACACCAAGAGGGCACTCACTCCACATCTTCTTCCTGAAATACCTACCTCTGATCTCAAGCATCCTTTCCAGAAATCAACGGTCATGCAACTGGGTCTTTCTTTCATCTCCCCAACTGCCATTTCAAACCCAGAGAATCCAGAGAAGAAGCAAGAGACCAGCTTATCTGGAAACTGAAAGCCTAAATTCAGTGCCAGAGAATAAGACATGAAGGTAGGCTTGTTATTACATTGCCCTAGGAAAAAATGGTCTTGAAGATGAGGGGCACATTCTAGAATACCAAATTAGGCTTGGGGACACATTGTAGAATATTTTTTGCAGCAGAACTGCCTTCTGGATGCTTGAGGGAAATTATGGGTGTGTGTGTACGTGTACACACGTGTCTGAGCTATGTATTTGAGAATTTGTGTGGACATGTAGTAAGGATGTTGTCTGTGCAATTTGATTATTGTGTGCCTGTTTTCAGGGTTTGGCATGTTTGGAGTGGAAGGCTTACTGGCTGAACTGGTGTGTGTCTATGTAATCACAGAATTAGAAAATTCGACTTTTTATAACTTACATCTAGCACCATGAATGTTAAGCCTAAATGTCATCTCTTGTACTTTATTCGTCTCCAGTATGACCCCAATGCTATACAATTATCTAGAAATAAAGGTCAGGCTTTGCACGTACTTTCATCCTCCACGGTCCCTAGCATATTAGAGCCTGGTTTATAAAAAGAGCAAGGATCTCAGAATTAGTCAGATTTGGCTTGAAAGAGCACTGATTTGGAAATCAGACAGGCCTGCATACAAGCCCCACACAGTCACTAACTAGCTATGACCTTGGGACAATTTAGCCTTTCTGAGACTAAGTTTACTCATCTATAAAATGGAGATTCTATCTTCCTCATAGAATCTGGTAAATAGATAACCTAAGGTATACTAATATATGGCTATCTTCCTAAACTAAGAGTTCAGATCTGTAAATGAGATGACAATCGATACGTAAGCGTTGTCTGTGCTTCTATCCCTTCCCCCACCCTACTTCCACATGCCCGGGTTTTCCTTTGCTTGTAACAGATAATGACACCCTTTTGTATTTCGTCCTTCCAAACATTCTGGGAGTTTTCCTTCTTTAGGCCAACCACAGCACAGAGGAGCGCTTCCTCCTGCTGGGTTTCTCCGACTGGCGCTCCCTGCAGCCTGTCCTCCTCGCCCTTGTCCTCCCCTGCTACCTCGTGACTCTGACGGGCAACTCGCCTCTTGTGCTGCTGGCAGTGCGCGACCCGCGCCTGCACACGCCCATGTACTACTTCCTCTGCCACCTGGCCCTGGTGGACGCGGGCTTCACCACCAGCGTGGTGCCGCCGCTGCTGGCCAGCCTGCGCGGCCCGGCGCTGTCGCTGCAGCGCCGCGGCTGCAAGTCCCTGGCGCTGGGCTCGGCCGAGTGCGTCCTCCTGGCGGTGATGGCGCTGGACCCCGCCCAGGGGCAGGGCAAGTTCTGCCGCGCGCTGTCCGGCGCCTCCTGGCTCGGCGGCCTCACCAACTCTGCGGCGCAAACGGCGCTCTTGGCGGCGCGGCCGCTGTGCGCGCCCCTCGGGGTGGACCACTTCATCTGCGAGCTGCCCGCGCTGCTCAAGCTGGCCTGCGCCGGCGGCCGACACGCCACCGAGCGCCAGATGTTCGCCGCCCGCGTGCTCATCTTGCTGGTGCCGTCCGCCGTCATCCTGGCCTCGTATGGCGCCGTGGCCCTCGGTGTATGGGGCATGCGGTCCGGCGGGGGCCAGAGGAAAGCGATGGGCACCTGTGGGTCTCACCTGACAGCCGTCTGCCTGTTCTACGGCTCGGCCATCTATACCTACCTGCAACCCACGCACAGCTACAACCAGGGGCAGGGCAAGTTCGTTTCGCTTTTCTACACTGTAGTCACACCGGCCCTCAACCCACTCATCTACACGCTCAGCAATAAAGTGAAGGGGGCAGCGAGGAGGCTCCTGGGGAGTCTGGGGAGAGGGCAAGCTGGGCAGTGAGTAGGTCGGGGAGGGACGAAAGTGTTAGACGAGGGACCAAGGATGGGAATGCCCATTGGAAAGTCAGTCAGTGTGGCCTTCAGGCTGTTCATTTCTTTATGAGAAACTGCAAGATTTGTCCTCAGGGAGTCCAAGGTTCATGGGGGAAAGCCCTTCCTCCTGTCAGGAAATGTTCCTGTGCTGGAGGGAAAATCAGTATATCCTCCATTCATACAGGTTTAGGGAGGGGGAAATGACCCTTGGGCTTTCTCCTCAGCTGATGAAAAGAGAAAGTATGATTTGGGGAAGATCTTCATTCTCAGGGGATACTGTGTCACCACCCCTCAAGAGTCTGTATGCTGGTAAGATCATGTATGATGTGATGCTTAACTTTAGCTCTCTTGGAGTCTAATGGAAGAGACCATAGAAGACCCCATGATGTCTGCCATCAGGAGGCTCTCAAGTTGACAAGGAAATCATAGACTCTCCCCTGCAGAAGACCCCAACCAGAAAAAGGAGCCATGGTCACTCATCTCAGGAAATCAGTCCAAGCTAATACCCACCTAGCCAGGTGACTAGTGCCCACCACAGAGCACTTGCCCCATAAGTGTAATGAGGAGCACCCATAGTGTGGGTTGTGCTGAGTAGGGCTAAGTTGGGAAACTCTTCTGCAGGAGGTGGTTCTTGAGCAAGTTTTAAAGAAGAGAAGGGACTGGTATAGTGGAGAAGAAGGTGGACATGTGTCAGCCTGTAAGAAAAACATGCAGGTGACCAGTAACGAGACATGAAAGAGGGACAGTGAGACAAAGGAGTAAATGAAGGCAGTAAGACGGAAGAAGAGTCTGGAGTTCCCAAGAGAGGAACAGGTCCCTGGTGGTGAAGGAGGCAGAGAGGAAAGCAGAGGTGGTGAAGGAAGCAGAGAGCTCTATCAGCCAGAACCTGGGCAGAGTGTTGAGGTCAAGCCAGAGACCAACCCCTCCTCCCCTCACCCAAACTGATACCTCCAACCTAGAGAAGACCTGCTAGACCCTGAGGAAGGCACGACAGAGACTGGTCCACAATCCCCCATCCTTCAGGAAGTCTGTTCCCTCCTGAAGCACATCTGCTCCCAAGGAGCCTCCACTAGAGACACAAAATCTCTAGATCCCCAGGGATGTATCTTTCCATGCCCACCATCATCCCCAGAAATAAGAGGATTTTAATTGGGTTTAATTAGAGAGTAAGAGGGGGCACGGTGCCTGGTTTTATTTCATACCAAATAGCTTTAAATAAGGAGAAGAGTAGTTGAATTGAATTTCTAAATTCTTTATTAATTTGATTGTAATCATGTCAGAGTAATTAATTCACTTCATAATAAATCAGTTCACTGTTCTCTATAAGTAAAAATTCAATTTGCTCCAACAATTATTGAGCAATATAATAGATGAAGCACTGGGCTAAACACAGATGGAAGCATAGAAATTAGGAGAACATGAATCCCAACCTAAAACTCACTATCTTGTTGGATGGGAAAGGAAACAGGAGTTTTTTAATAAACCAGAAGGAACCAAGAAAGGATTAAACTGCAAGCTGGCTTTGAATGCTATCTCTAATGTGCCTTAAAAATGTATTTTGTCTTAAGTAATATATTATATGCAATCCTACCACTTAATCAATTGTTAGCATCAAAGAATCATAGAGTTAGAAAGTATTCTGCAGTCTCCCTCCCCACTTCACCCCAAATCTTATCCTTCTATTTATCTCTCTCTCATTAGTTTTGGGAAATAATCAAAGGATGTGATTGGTGAGTAAGAGCCAAAAGGAAATAAACTCTTTTGCTCCTGGCATTACCCCATCCCCAGGGTGGTCACCCCCCAATGCAGTGTCGTGTCAGGAAGAGTAAATTGCCCTTTCTGACGCCATAATCTGCCATGATCTTCCCGTCTTCCAATTTCTTTCCATTGCAAGTCACGATCTGTTTCTCAGGAGTTATAGCGGTCTTGGCCTTGATCATCTCTTTCACCTGGGCCACTGAGCTGGACCTTCGCACCTGGAGGAGGTGCCTTTGGCCCTCATCACCTGACTCCACCAGAGTCATGTTCAGCTCCTCATCACTGGGCTTCACCACCTTCAGGGTGAGGTGGATGGTCGTCTCCTTGTCAATGCCATAAGATGATAGCTTCCTCATGGGCTTTAGGGTCTTCGAACCCAGCAGAAGGATCTGGTCATGCACGGGAACCTTGGTCTTAGACCGGACATGTTCATTGATCTTCTTCACTCTGTCTTCCAAGTAGGCAGTGAAGGTCATTAATTTCCATTGCTGAGAATGGACATTCACCTGCACAATGAAGGCCAACAGACAGTTGCCTAGATTGCCTGCCACCTTTTACACTTCTTGCTCCCCCTCCTTAATTGCTTCTGCCCTTCACTGCCCATCTGATCCTCTAGCTTCTTTACAACAAGCTGTGTCCCTTCCTTCCTTGGAACTTCTCTTTTGGAATTTTCAGGTTATAACACAAACAATAAAATCAGTCTTATTCCTTTATAACCATACTTCTTATCCATTTCACAATGTCATTAACGATTTCCCACTTTATTTACCTGCCTCCTATCTGGATAAATTTTGTCAAATGTCAAAAACTAAATACAACTACAAAGCATCCAAAGATGTATATCAGACTCTGGGGAAGCTCACCCCTGTGTTGTCACTTGAAAGCCTGGGAGGACCTCCCTCACATTCTGTTCAAAAATATCTTCCCAATCTAGATGTCACAGACATTTCTTCACTGGAGTCTGTGCAAAGCACTGCCCTCATTCCAGGTTCTCTTTATAGTGCATATATTCTTGCATAAGTAATATCAGATCATTAACAACTTAGGATAAATGAGTTTTGTGAACCTCTCTTTTGAGAGGAGAAGGAAGCTTAAGTTTAAGAGCTCTGGGCCTTGAACAGGATAAGGGGAAAAGGGGTCAAGACAGTATTTCCACAGTTTCAAATCTCATCAGCCCTGTTAAGAACAAAGCCCACTCCCACTTCCTACCATTTATCCCTAACAGTGGCCAGTCCAAGGTCTGACATAAAAGAGAACTCAGGAGCCAAATGGCCAGCTTCTCTTCACAAAAGCTTCCTTTACCTTCTGTAGCTATCAATGCCTATCTCATCCCCTTCAAGATGCTCTCCCAGTCACGCTACCTCCCTGAACACTGTCCCTCATCCATTCCTGAGCTCTCTCCCCCATCTCTTGAAGGTGCTTTCCCTTTCCCCATCCCCATTATCAAACCCAAACTTACATAGAGGCAGGTAGCCATCTCAGCAACCAAGGGAGTAGAAACAGGAGCCTGAGGAGACTGCGAGTGCACCCAGCTTATATATGAACAGCTGAGTTGGAAATCCCCTGCCTGATTTGTTGTGTTTGTCTAGATTTCCTGTGCTCTCTGTTCTTGTATAACTTCATAAATTTTCTTTCACTTTTGCTTACAGTGACTCAATAAACAAAGAATACTTTCTGTTCAAGCCCTTCTCCCCTCAGCCAATACATCTGCCCTCCTTAATCCAAGCATGGGTTGGTGCTTCTCTGTTGAGAATTTTTCCCTGATTAACAACCCACCACTCCCAGTCCTAACTTATGACTGTCCAGTCTGCAACCCTGGGCCCTCACTGGCTTGAAGACCTTTAAACTTGGTGGTCCTCTCTTGCTGCTTTTAAGAACCTCCCATCAGTCAGGGGCCTTCCTGAGAGCACGTACACCCAGGAGAGGACAGAGGTGTGGAGTGATGTGATTGTGAGCAGCCTCTCACACTAGCCTGGCAGGATGTGTGAAGCAGCCTCGAGAAGACATAGAATAAATAACCCTGGACTGAGAAGTGACATGACGGTGCCACTTGCTACATTACCTTGGGCAAGTCTGTTCACCTTTTTAGGTGTTGGTTTTCTGATCTATAAAATGAGATGATTGAGAGAATTCCTAAGTGTCTTCCAGGCTCAGAAAACTTTGTTTATAAAATGTCCTTTACAAAGAACTTCAGATTCCTGGGTCTTGAGGTCTCCAACTCACTTCTTCCCCTGTCCCAGAACCTGCAAACCAAATCCACTACTTGAGAACAATCCAAAGCCAACAGTCAAATGCTGACTCCCCCCTTCCACACACTAAAGCCATCACACATCCACTCTCTCACCTCAGTGCCTCTACTTTCCCAGCTGTACTCCTGGACTCTCCTCACACTGCCATCTCAGATGCCTATGGTGCTCTCTGCCTGGCCCTTGAGATTGGGATTGGGACAAAGAGAGAGTACATGAGCTGTGTGCCCTCAGGGAACTGACTCGATATCACTCTGATCCTCCTAACACTCCAAATTACTCACTCCCCTCTCCCAGACTCTCAGGACATTGCCACAAAACCCATTTTTTTTTTAAAAAAAGCATTTATTTCAAAGTAAAAAGCTCATAAAAATGCCAAGTTATCATCTTTGTTGGCTGTATTTTCAGTGGCCATTTACTGTATCTTCACTCAGTGATAGATTTCAAATGATCCCATTTTATTCCAGGGGTTTCCATCATGGAGAACTTGGATTTACAGAAGTGCCTGCATAGAGTAATGGGATCTAAGAGGTCATTCCAATATTTCAAAAATCTTAACATAAATCATGTTCTTCTATTTGAAGCTCTTAGTTAATAAAACTGAAAAAACTAATTATTATCTCAATGTATTTTTGTGGGGTAGACATACTTTTTTTAAATACATAGGGTGAATATGAAGAGGGAAGAGTGTGTGATGGAATAGACTGGAAACATGGGCACCTGCTAGTCTCCCTTCAGATATCTCTCCAGGTTCCTATTGTCCTCTGTGTTTAGAAACCAGGATTGTGACCTTTAGCTGATGCACAGCAGAAAAGGCTGCCTTGCATCTGCTATCCAATAGAATTTGGGTATTCTGAAACATCACCAGTGGCCAGGCAGAAAATGTCAGATCAGGTTGAGGGTGATAGAGAAAGAGAAAGCCCTGCAGTGGGGTAGTGATGGGAAGCGTGGAAAAAGAGAGAGGAAAATCTATAAAAAACCCAGATTGAATAAACTGCTTTCACTTTTCAAATTTATTTGCACCCATTATCTTCTTAGATCTTCACATCATTTCTGTAAAGGGAAGAGGGAGAGTAAATGTTTAAGGCTGCTTAAAATTAAATTACTCTCTTCTCATACATTTTCCCTCTTTGCCCTTCTTGTTCCAGTAGCCTACACCATCTTGATGCCAATGTCTGCATTCTCAGGGGAAGCAGGAAACCTTAGCCGGAAACTCCAGGAGGGGGAGTCCTGGAATGACATTCCCCAGGAAAGATATTTGTCTGCTGATGCCCCTCAGATATATAACCACCACCCAAACTGAGCTGCAGATACGTAGGTCTAGCTGCTTCTCTGCACAGTTCCCTGAGTTCCCTGCATATCCTTAAACATGCCAAGCTCTCTGCCACCAGATCATTGAGCATGCATTTCCCTCCAACTCTACCCCCAACATCATGAATTTATAAGAATATGCACTATAAGCAGCATCTCCTCCAGGAAGCCTTCCCTAACTCTCTTCCTTCCTATTTTGTGTTATGTGCCCATCTTCTGTCCTCTCATACTCCCTCCACAAGCCTCTCAGAGCACATTTGTTCAGCAATAAGATCATCTGCTTACTTGTCTGTTGCCCCAGTAAACAGTAGGCATCTTGAGGGTCATGACTATGTCTTAATTAGCTTGTATCTTCAGCACTTCCCGGGCATGCTGTCTAGCATAGTAAATAATAAATATTTACTAAATCCATGAATGAATTTCTAAATGAATAAGTAAGTGAATAACTAAAAATGGAAAATAACATTTAGTGAGTACTTATTATATTTCAGGAACTGCACGAGACATTATTAAATGGTACCTCATTAACTGTTTCAGCATTCTAATGAGGTAAATATTAGTATCTTTATTGATAAGCAAGCTAATCCACAGTCATATTAGTAGTAGCTCGTGAGCAAGAGTTCAAATGCTAATCTCTACTTCTATAGTCCTTATCTTCTTCTTATCATATTGTGCTTCAGTGGAAAGAGAAGGGGAGAGTGCATGCACACATAGGCCTGTTTATTACAGGAAAGGTACAAGTTGGGGGAAGGAATACAGAGAGACAAAGGAAAGCAGAGGATGCAAGGAGCCTTGGGATGAGTGACAGCAAGAAGAGTTTTGGGGCCCATATGTAGGTAGGAATAGTCCTAGGTGGCAGGCTCTGCCCAGACCACTCTATCCTCCCCGACTCGGCGGAAGTAAGCAAAGAGCCTGTGAGCGCAGGTGTCAGAGCCTGGAGGAAAATTGCAGCCTGGTGCAAGGTAGATGAGAACTGCTCTCCCGGGACTGTGAGTATTAAAGAGTGCCACTGTCATGCAACTCCAGGTGGCAGTACAGGAACCTCCCACTGGAGCTGGGGATTTCAGAGGATTCCCTACGTAGACAGGATCTGGATTCTGCGAAACAGTGTCCTTTTAAGGAATGAGAATAACAAATCTGGGCTCTGATCTTCTCTCTCTTCTCCCTCTTCCCTTCCTCTGTGAAATTCCCCTCCCACCCAAGGCCAGGGCGAGCTCTTTCCCAGACACCCTGGTGCCACTTTGCTGACCACAGGTAGGAATTCTTTTTGGGACCTGACCTCCTCCTTGCTTGTTACCACATGTCAATCTGACTTATTTTTTTCTCTATGCCACAATAAATTTTTTCAGAGACAGAAAGATCTCTTTTCATTTGCCCCTCTAACAAATTCAGAAGATCAGCCAACATGAACGATCATGCTATAGAGATCTTGCTAGGTTATAAAACAAATGTATCCTGTATCTACAAACCTCCTAGCTTGGCCCTAGCTGATGGGTGGTCTTAGGCTAGTCACTGCTTCCAATGAGGCCTCTTTCCTGTCTCTTTACTAATACCCATGAAAGAGTTCGTAAAACTGCTTTGAGATCTAGAATATTGCTTCTGTAATGCCAGCTAAACTCAGTGAAAAAGCCACTGGGAATTCTCGTTTATTGATGGATGGAAAAAAAATTTGTTCACTCTCAAAGAGGGACAATTTGGAAATACTATAAAAATTAAAAATGGACATGCCAAACTAAAACAACCCAAATATCTTTCAGTAATAGGGAAATAGATAACTGAATTGTGGAATATCATCAGCAGTGAAAACGGATGGATTATACCTGCAAGCAACAATATGGATGAATATGCCAGAAAGCTCCTGAGTAAAAAATACAAGACCAAGGAAACTACATAAAGTATGGTACTCTTTATAAATCTTAAAAACAAGCAAAACTACATAGAGAAACAGAGAGATAAGCTACTTTGAAATTCAGAGTGTGTTCTCTTTTTAACAGAAACTAAGCCCAATCTAAATGCTAATGTGAGTTACTTGAAGATTTTCAACAGGGAATGATTCACTTAGGATCCCTCTGATATGATCTCGTCTTGTCATATTCAGAGCCTAAAGTTTAACTGTGAGAACTTAATGTTAGATAAAAGCAATTTATTGAATGGCACTAATGTGTGTTACGTTAATACTTAAGAGATGCAATGTGTATTCACTCTATTAGAGATAAAGTAATGTTATGGTCTAAAACATAAATGTTCTAAAAGGAAATAAACACAAGCAAAACTGAACATTACAGTATTGAGGACCACATATGTATGAAATAAAGCTGTTATAAAAATGTAAAAACTGTAAATGTTCATTATGACATTATTACGCTTTAGAGTTTACATATGTTACGTATATTCATTTGTGGTATCAAAGTTTGTGATAAAAAAATTTTCATCTACATATCCTCTAATCCAGCAATTTCACTTCTAGGAATTTATCCTAGTAATGTATGAAATAAGGTATGTACCAGAATATTCATGTGGCATTATTTGTAATAAAAAAAACGAAAAAAACATTTACCAATAAGGAACTAAATAAATGAAGGTGTAAACAAAGTTGCAAAGTGTGTGTATAATATTCTAGTGTTCAAAAAAGAAGAAAATATACATGTATGCTGAACTATGCATACAGTTTCACTGGGAGAAGATATTTCCTTTGGGGAGGGAAACTGAATTGCTTGAGGAATAGGAATGGGAAAGAGACTTACTTTTTATTGTATGCCTTGTCCTATTGTTATTTTTTTGGTTTTGAACCCTGTGTGTGTTCTATCTATTCAATAGCTAGAGATAGATGATATAAATAGATTGATAGATAGATAGATAGATAGATAGATAGATAGATAGATAGATAGATAGACAGATAGACAGATAGATAGTGTGGGAAGGGGTATGTATCTTTTTTATGCTATTGTTGGCTCAGGACAGAATTGGCTATAAGTTATGCACCAATGAGAACTACTTTTAGTGCTCATCACTAGTTGCTGGGCAAATGGCCATGAAAAGCTGGTGGCTATAGTAAGTTAATTGTCGTAATCTTGTGCCTTCCCTATTCCCAAACATGCACCATCCACTAGTATTTTACATACTACAAAACTTGGAAAGATTGATAATAAATCCTACAATATTATCTGAATTTGAGGACAATCACTGAGCCTGGTTCATGGGTCTAATGGCAACGTGCGAAAATCGACTAAACCAACAAGGTAACTGGAATAGCTAATGCACTCATGGGTGTAGAATGGTGTGTGGGCCAGTGCCCACATCCACTTTGCAGTAGTCAGATCATCATGGAGTGAATCCAGGCTCTGCCTTCTACTTCCCATACAAGATATTTAACCACCCTGAAGCTTAGTACTTTCTTCTGTAAGTTGAAGGTTTCACTTAGGATTTAGGCTCTGCTACCATTAACTAACACCTAAAAATATGTGGCTTTAAAAAGATAATAGCATATTTCACTCCACATCAAAATCCAGAGGTAGAAGATTCAGAGCCAGTATAGTAGTTCTGTTCCACAAAAAAACTCAGGGCCAGCCTCCTTTGAACTCTGCTATTCTGAAAATATGGCCTACATTTTTGTGGTCCAAAATAGCAGCTAGTGTTCTACCATTACATCATCATTCCAGGAAGCAGGATGGCAGAAGTGATGAAAGAAGATACCAAAGAGAGGGCTTCAACTGTATTTTAAGAAAGGCTCCAGGAAACAGCCAGAGGAGATTTCTCTTACATCCCATTGCCTGGCATCTCATGGCCACATGAAGCTGCAAGGGAGGTTGTGAAATATAGTTTTTATTCTGAGCAAGCATAACCTAACTGAAATAGTATGGGAGGGGGAAAGAACTACTACTGGGTAATAATGAGCAGTCTATGATACAAAAGGTAAAACAGTATCTACATCACATGACTGTCGTTATGATTAAATGAGATTTCATATGTGGTTAGGCTTTTGCTAATCTACAGAAGTAAGACCAGAAAGTGGATGTAGAAATGAGGCAAATTTTAACACAGAATAACATAATAAAAAAAAGTATGGAAAAAATGGAATGGGAAAAAAATGGCCTGATATGATTCAAAAGGTAGTGAGTTATAAGGGAATTTTGAGGCATCGAATGAAGATTAAACAATGTCTCAAGGGCTCTTCCAGCCTTAGGATTCTAGAATTCACTGTTCCTACACTGTAGTCCAACACAGAGGGAATGATAAAAGAATCTGAGAATTTACAACAAAGAGAGTAGCCTGCATTGGAGTAACTCTTCTGCTAGTAACAATGATAAATTCTGTAAAAATAAAATATATATTTAAAAAAAACAACTGTTTGAAGTCAGTGGGGAATGACCAAAAGCAAGGAGAAACTAGAGGGCCCTCGACTCATGCAAAAAGGGAACCATCCTAGGTAAGATCTCCATTTATACAGCTTTTCTCTGAGAGAACTCCTCAGTCCATGCATGGTGGATAGAGTTCAAACAGAAAGCTGCTGTCTTATTAGCTAAAGGACGCCAGAGTATCTGGAAATTAAGGAGAAATCTCAGAAAAGAGGGAGCTATAAAGAGACAAACCCAAAAATTAGATGAGAACTCCTCTCACATTCCTGGCTGACTACTGACCTACAGATGTACAAGGCAAGCTTTTAAAGAGTACAGGAACAAAACAACATCTGGAAGGCTGAAAGAGCCAAGCAGAAATTTCTGCCGCTTCCCACTGCAAGGGAGATAGACAAGTTAGAGGGGCATGGTAAACACCTTGGGCTTTCCACTGAAACCCTAAAAGGACCAGACCTTACACATAATTCTCAAGTACATATGGAATATTCATCAGTATATGCTAGGTAATAAAACAAGTCTCTAAGTATGTCTTTTCACCAAAATGTAATTAAATTAGAAGTCAGTAATATAAAGAAATATGGGGAATCCACAAATATTTAGAAATCACAGAATATAATTTTAAATAGCCCAAGGATCGAAAAAGAAAACCTGAAAGAAGTTAGCACATAATTAAAACTGAATGAAAACAAAACATATCAAAATTTATGGGCTGCGCATAAAAGAGTACTTAAGGGAAATTTTATAGCCTTAAAAAAAAGTCTCAAATCAATCATTTAAGCTTCCAGCCTAAGAATTTACAAAAGGAAGTGCAAACTTAATCAAACTCAAACATAAGGAGAATCAGAGCAGAAATCAATGACCAGAAAAAATAAACCCACAACATAATAAATCAATCAAAACAAAAGTTGGTTCTTAAAAACAGATCAATAATGGGGCTGGCCCAGTGGCGTAGTGGTTAAGTCCACACGCTCC